ACACTTTAAAATTATATGTAACTCCATTTGTTAGTGTGATAGATTTAAATAACTTTAACTTGGGCCGGCCTGTGGCTCACTCGGTAGAGTGCGGTGCTGATAGCACCAGGGCCGCGGGTTCGGATCCCATATAGGTATAAAAAAAATAAAATAAAATAAAATAAATAACTTTAACTTATTTCCTGTAAAAAAGCAATTGTTTTTGCTTTAGAAAATGAAGGCAAACAAAAAACAAAACCACACAAAATCTCTAAATCCCATTCACCCAGAGTCAACCACTGTGAACACTTTGGAACAGTCTTCCAGACCCTTTCTAAATGCATATAGTAAATTAAATTTCAAAACAGAATCATACTGTATGTGGTGTTGTATAACTTAACAAACTTTCAATGAAAACTTCATTAAAAAAAGACATAACATGGTTGCATATATAATATTATACGTCTTGGACATTTAAACAGTTTCTGTCCTTTGCTCTTAATTAGTGCTGCAATGTAGAAATGAAAATATAGCAAATCTTTACCCATGCTCTCATTTCTTTGTAATAATTTTTTCCCTTTTAAACTCATTTGAATTTGCGGTTCCTTATCTCTTGCCTAATGCCTTCTCATTCCACCCCTATGTCTTTATACAGTGTATGGATGACATATACACATATGGCATCCAAAGCCTAGTTTTTTTAAAGTTTATTTTTCTGATTATAAAGGTAATATGTAATGTAGGACATTAGGAAAATTTAGGAGAATATAATAAAAATATTCCAATACCTAGACAACCACTGATATTTTTGGTATAATTTTTTTGTTTTTCTCTCTTTGTTTCTTCAGCAGCGAGTATTGAAAACGTGTTGGCTAATTTGGTAGGGAAATAGTGCAGCTTTTAATTTGTACTTTTTTGTTTATTCATGTAGCCGATATATTTCAAATAGTATTTTAAATGTTTACAGGCTATGGTCCATTTCAGGCCCCACCTTCTCTATCTAGCTTTCCTTCAGTATTTCTGATTAATCACACTAAATTATAATGGTTTAGTTTTCCATATGGTACATTTTAGGTCTCTAACTGGATGGAAAGCTGGTTATGTGGCCCTGGATAAACTGTTTATTTTCGCTGAGCCCTCTTTTATCTGCAAATTATGGATAATAATACTTATTTTGTAGGGCTGTAGTGAGGATTAGAAATAATGTATCCAAGCTGAGCTCAATGAAAAGTAGCTTCCCCCCCCCCCCGATTTGTAGCTTTAGTAGTCTCTATACATATGAGGTGTTCAGTAGCTTTAGTAGTCTCTATACATATGAGGTGTTCATATTTTTATAGTATTTCAAATGAACAAATAATCTTGGAATCCCGCCCAATTTAGATATCGAGCACCTATGACACATAAGGCACTGTTCATATCAAGGCCTTGTGAGCCTGTATTATTTACATATGTTTCCTACTTGAACCACATGCTGCTCTTCAACTTCAGCAGTTCTCTTACATTACACATCTGTTTCCTCAGTCTCTACCACCCTGGCAGAAGGTGCTGAATAAATGTGTGAGCTGAACTGAATAATTTAGTGGGAAAAGAGAAACACAAATTAGATAAAAACTGGCACGCTGTGATGAAAGTGATAACAGGTACAAAGTTCTTTGTACATTGGAAGGTCAGGAGACAATTTTGATTAAGGTATTTGGGAATGCCTTGTGGAGGAGGTAGATTTGACCTGCTCCCCCATAATAGGGACTAAGGGAAAGGGTCTTAAAGATGAAGTAACAGTATGAATTAAGGCTTGGAGGTAGAAGTAAACAGGAGTGTTTTGTTACCACAGAGTTATGTGGGGTGGAGAGTAGGGTGGGCGAATGGGTCCAAATGAAGCAGAAAAAAAGTAGTGGGGTCCTACGTTTTGAGGATTTTGATGTGGCCAGTTATTTTTTTTTATAATTTTTAAACGTTTCTGAAAAATACTGCTTTCAATATGGCCTGGGGCATTCTTGGGTAGGGTGGATCAGAGGAACAGCGGGGTTAGGAAAGAGGTGGGCCAGAGATGGCAATTGGCCTGCCCGTGGAGAATGCAGGGAGTGGCAGGATGGTAGGGACTTCAGCGGCGAAAGAGAACTTAGAGGACTGTCCACGAGGAAGCGGAATGCCCTTAGCAGTTCAACAGGCATCTGGAGGCTGCGAAACAAACGGTTATTGGGGCCGACCACCCAACCCGAAGGGCAACAGCTAAATCCACACCAGCCCGGTTAGCGCCCGCGGGGTCAGTCGCCAGCCCTACGCCTCGCCCGCCCCCCTGTCGGGAACCTCTCCGACCTCCCAGCGCTTCTCGCCCCGCCCCTGCCGCTCTCGCCATACCCCTCCTGTCGCCCCGCCCCTGCCCCTTTAGCCACACGCAATTAAGGCTTGGAGGTAGAAGTAAACAGGAGTGTTTTGTTACCACAGAGTTATGTGGGGTGGAGAGTAGGGTGGGCGAATGGGTCCAAATGAAGCAGAAAAAAAGTAGTGGGGTCCTACGTTTTGAGGATTTTGATGTGGCCAGTTATTTTTTTTTATAATTTTTAAACGTTTCTGAAAAATACTGCTTTCAATATGGCCTGGGGCATTCTTGGGTAGGGTGGATCAGAGGAACAGCGGGGTTAGGAAAGAGGTGGGCCAGAGATGGCAATTGGCCTGCCCGTGGAGAATGCAGGGAGTGGCAGGATGGTAGGGACTTCAGTGGCGAAAGAGAACTTAGAGGACTGTCCACGAGGAAGCGGAATGCCCTTAGCAGTTCAACAGGCATCTGGAGGCTGCGAAACAAACGGTTATTGGGGCCGACCACCCAACCCGAAGGGCAACAGCTAAATCCACACCAGCCCGGTTAGCGCCCGCGGGGTCAGTCGCCAGCCCTACGCCTCGCCCGCCCCCCTGTCGGGAACCTCTCCGACCTCCCAGCGCTTCTCGCCCCGCCCCTGCCGCTCTCGCCATACCCCTCCTGTCGCCCCGCCCCTGCCCCTTTAGCCACACCCCGCGCCTCTCGCCCCGCCCCGAACCTCATGCCCCTCCCCGCCCTGCTCCCCTGGCTGCGTCCCGCCACGAGCTTCTCGTCCGCCCCTGCCCCTCTTGCCACACCCCGCCCAGAGCCCCCACCAGCCGAACGTCCTCGTCGTACCTCGCCTGCGGGTCAGGCGTAGAGAGGGAGGGCCTGGGCGGTCGGGTTGGCGGGAGGGAGGGTATCTTCCTCTGTTTCACCCCGGGCCGCCGGAGCCGGGAGAAGGCATCGGCGAGGTCTGCGGGCGGCATGGCTGGAGCTCCGGACGAGCAGGGGCGGGGCCCCCTGGCGGGAGAGCAGCTGGGGCAGCAAGACGTAACGTGCCAGGTTTTCCCTGAGCAGCTGGCCGTTCGGAAGCCCCAGCAAGGGTTCTTCCCCGTCCTCACCAACAACCAGAAGTGCCAGCTCATGCTCCTGAAGACGCTGGAGACGAGTAGGAGCCGTGACCTGGTGGCTGGGGGTCGGCGGGGTGGTGTCTGAGACCGGGGGGAAGGGGAAGGGCCTGCAGTCAAGGGGCTGCAGATTCAACCGCAGGTACTGGATGGGCCGGTTCGGGCACCCCAGCTGAGAGCGTAGGCAGATTCGGTATCATGGAGGCGGTGGGCGGGGGGCCTAGGCCTCAGTTTCCCCAACAAAGGAGGCGCCGAGGCCCCTTGCTTGTAGACTGAAAGAAGAATTGGGCTAGGAATTTGTCTGCCCTTTTCGGCCCACTCACTGGTCTGACATACTCTGATTTCTTATGTAAGTTATGCAGCAACACGGGGACGTTAGGGTCAGGTGAGGCAGAAGGTTAAGGAGCCGCGTTACTTAAGGCAGACCCACTGGTGACAGCGCAAAAACGACTGTTTTGCAAACCTACTTTCGTTGGAAGGGCTTCTTGACCGTCATGGGTGGATGGAGTTCAGAGTGTAGAAATGCCTGAAATGGATTGCGAAATCGTGTGTGTGTGTGTGTGTGCGCGCGTGTGCGTGTGTGTGTGCGTGTGCGTGTGTGTGTGTGTGTGTGTATGCGTGCGCGCACGCCTAAGTACATTTTTCTATGGAGAAAGTTCATAGTTTCTTCAAATTCTCAAAGGGGCCAACAACCCAGAAAAGGTTAAGAACCACGATTGTGGGTTAAATAAGGACACAACTACCTACTGACCNGGCGAGGTCTGCGGGCGGCATGGCTGGAGCTCCGGACGAGCAGGGGCGGGGCCCCCTGGCGGGAGAGCAGCTGGGGCAGCAAGACGTAACGTGCCAGGTTTTCCCTGAGCAGCTGGCCGTTCGGAAGCCCCAGCAAGGGTTCTTCCCCGTCCTCACCAACAACCAGAAGTGCCAGCTCATGCTCCTGAAGACGCTGGAGACGAGTAGGAGCCGTGACCTGGTGGCTGGGGGTCGGCGGGGTGGTGTCTGAGACCGGGGGGAAGGGGAAGGGCCTGCAGTCAAGGGGCTGCAGATTCAACCGCAGGTACTGGATGGGCCGGTTCGGGCACCCCAGCTGAGAGCGTAGGCAGATTCGGTATCATGGAGGCGGTGGGCGGGGGGCCTAGGCCTCAGTTTCCCCAACAAAGGAGGCGCCGAGGCCCCTTGCTTGTAGACTGAAAGAAGAATTGGGCTAGGAATTTGTCTGCCCTTTTCGGCCCACTCACTGGTCTGACATACTCTGATTTCTTATGTAAGTTATGCAGCAACACGGGGACGTTAGGGTCAGGTGAGGCAGAAGGTTAAGGAGCCGCGTTACTTAAGGCAGACCCACTGGTGACAGCGCAAAAACGACTGTTTTGCAAACCTACTTTCGTTGGAAGGGCTTCTTGACCGTCACGGGTGGATGGAGTTCAGAGTGTAGAAATGCCTGAAATGGATTGCGAAATCGTGTGTGTCCGTGTGTGTGTGTGTGTATGCGTGCGCGCACGCCTAAGTACATTTTTCTATGGAGAAAGTTCATAGTTTCTTCAAATTCTCAAAAGGGCCAACGACCCAGAAAAGGTTAAGAACCACGATTGTGGGTTAAATAAGGACACAACTACCTACTGACCAATTTTTCTCCAGTCCCAGGGACATTGCACTAGAGAAGATTTGAACTCCTTTACATTGACATAGACTTCCTAAGTTTACTTCAGATACATTTAGAAAGTCAAAGTCTTAAATGTACTTTCCCCAAAGCATGGTTACTATTTCACAGCCGGCGAATCACAGTTTAGAAGTCAGCCACCCAAAGACTTTCCAATCTTGTGATTATCTGATATCAAGAATCAAGGGAGATGGGAGAATGGGGGAGTAAAGGGAAAAAGGAAGAGAATTATAACATTGT